TTCTTCATCCCACTTAACTACCTTTGTTTTCTTAATTCTGTTAATGAGCACTGGGAAAAATGCTGCTTTACATCTAAGTAACAATCAAATTCTTCACGTTATCAGATTGTTTACTGCAGTAAAACTCTTGAAAAGAGTTCCCACAGGCCCTCTTGTACCACAGCTAGATAACCAAGAAATTTTTATCTACAAGGACAGTAAAACTGTAACTTCAGAGGGTGATTGCATGTGAAATTCCTGAGTTATCAGCAGTTAACGTTAAGGCTCTGTCATTAGTAACAGTAAACTGTTCATATTCGTTTTGGACCGGTCAATGTTTTGTAAAATGAACTTGCATTGGGACATCTTGCTTCTAGTTTTCATGGGAAAAGAATTCAGCTTCTTTCTGAACTACAGCGGGGACAATTATGCTGAAACGAACAGCATAATTCTTTATCTCATGGTAGACTCTCTACTCAAATCTGTTTATCACATGGTAGATTTTCTACTCAGAAGAGCGAAAAAGAAATAGCAATAGTAGTATTGCTAGCGATGGAAATAGCTAGCAATAGAAGATGTTGATATATTTAGTGATTAACGCTTCCTTCCTTCTCTACTAATAGTTTGGATCCCATTCTTCTGCATGGACATTTGTACATTACCTGTTCGGTTTTGACACCCAGCACTGGATCCCAATAGTAATCTTTTCCAAAGCCATTACTTTTTCCAGAAAATAAGCAGAAGACACTTTGTGTTTTTCTCAGAAGCTGAAGAAGGCATGCCACTAATAGGGGTCATTACAATTACAGGGCCTATATCAGAGGGTCTTAGTTTTTTCTAGGAAGCCTCCTGTTTTGTTATGAGACTGTCTGTCTTCAACCTCCTTTCTTTTCTTTCGGAAGCCTATAATGCTCCTTGACAACAAACCAACAAGTTTACAGGTGTCCTTCCCATTTACAAGGAAGTTGTACACTCAAGTTTACAGGTTCCCTTTCTTAACGAAACCAGGTCACTTACTGCTAGCAATTCTAACAAAGTTGATCAGGGACAAGCAGGAACTGTTACTGTTTTCAGCATTATAGAAAACTTCAAAGTGATGTCTTCCCATTTATTTCAAAGGTCCTGGGCTCAAATTACATATGACTGGTTAGGTTTGAATGAGCCACCTGCAAGGCAAAGGGGTAACCTTCAGCTGTATCTGCAGACTTGAAATCGGAACCCAGTGTCCCCTAGGCTGATCTGAATTGAAAAAAGGATAAAGCGTAGTAAAACAACAGACACATGGTCCGGACCGTAATGTAATTGTATGAAACAGGCCACAGCGGTTACACTGATGTAAATTCATGTGAAGAGGATCCTGGAGAAGACTTGTGTGTGGAGAACCCAATTTCATATAATGTTGTTCTGTAATGTATCGGTTCAGCGTGGAACAAGTGACTTAGGTGTTGCAGTGGTGTGTGACGGAAAAGTGTATTACTACATGGATGTGTTATGTAGTTTTGTGTTATGTTGTAACTTCTATGGTGTTATGTAATAACCTTTATGCTCTTTTAAATTTTAATTAAATCTAGAACTTATTTTCTTATATTTTTAGTAGTTTTTTGCAGTGTTAGTTTTGAAGGCAAACTGCATGGTTGATGTTTCATGAATTATAATTATTCAGTAACACTTGAATATTTTATTGCATTCAGTTTGCCCGTTGAAATGCATATACTTAATTGTTTCTAAATTGTTTAGGATTCCTGCAGATTTTGAAGGAGAAGCGTAATCGTGACTATTTCACTTGTTTTTGACAACCGCCTATGTGTAAAAGCATGCTAAGTCTTCTTCATGCCCTTTTTGTTTCCTCAGAGGTACGTGAAACTTGGAGTCTTTGCCAGTTCCATACAAATCATTTGTTTGTATAAATCAAATATATTGTATGCGTATAAAGACAAACGTAGTAGAAACAGGCATTATAAAGTTGAGTAAAGAATACTTCCTCTCCTTATTTGGAGAGCTTTTGTTACAGAGTTTATCAGACTAGTATATTTCTAGGTCCAGAGAACTTTAACTTATTGCTACAGTTATTATAAAAATTAATATAATTTAAGTGTTCAGGTAGCAAAATCAATCAGTACCATATACTGAGATGTCTGATGGGGTTGTAACTATATGTTCTTAATCATCTGCAAGGAGAATTAGGTTGGTGACTTTTTTTGATGTGTCTGGGGTGGGACAACATTGCAAAGGTGACTTTTTTTTAATTTGTTTGCCTTTTTGATATCAGTAAAATCAAGAATTTAGTCATAGAAAAATTGAGATTACTTTTTTTTTTATATCTGTCTTCCTTTATATTTTTCCCTTCTTCCATTTGGTCAATACAAACTAAGGCACAGAGAACAGCAGAAGAAAAAACAAAAAACCAAAAACCAAAAAAAGAAAAAAGTTCGAAAGTGAAGACTTTCTAAGTTTTTTTTGACAATGCTATTAATTCACAAAGAAGGAAGAAAATCCTTTTTGGGGAAAAAAACCCGGATAATTTATTTTACATATTTTACATAGGGTTTTTGCCAGAGATCTTTGCTGCAAAGTTGTGTTACATGTTTAGGATTAATAACTGTATTTGAGAAAAATAATTAGTTGCTGAAAGTCAGTATATGAAGAGGAGAATGTACTTTTTTTGTTTTTAATTATTGCTGGATAAATTACAATATACATATTAAGATTAAGCATGCTGTATGTAATCAATATCAGCAGTTAACTGACTGAAGCTTTGATCTTGTTAATGGCTTCAATAGAACAAGGGATAGACAGGATCAATGTGCGAGTGAAAGACCTTCATGGGAAACACAAGAAGTAGGTGCAGGAGGTTGAAGCCCGGCTCCGGGTGATGACTCTTCGATCGTGTCCTCCAGGAACTTTCCTTGTGGGCTAAAGCGGCTGCAGATCTGCCTGGGCTCCTACAGAGCCAGCACCTGGCTCGGCAGCTGCAGGTGTCTCCACGGCAAGAACTGCCCCGTTCTTTCCATGAGGTGCTTGAATTTCTCGCAGTCGGAGGTAATATGTTTCAGATTACTGAGTTCATGGTGGTGAACTGTATAATTGAGTTTGTATGCAGTGCAGACTTACCATTATGCAATATATTTCTATGTGGTCATAGCTTTCTTAAAAGCAACAACCACAAAAACAAAACCAAAGAAAAAACCCAAACCAACAAACCCTTCTCCTTTGAGTAAAAATTTCCATTGACAGTCTCCCACTTGGTATTGCCTTTGGAAAAGATAGAGAACATTCCCTTCAGCTGATTTTGAGAAATGGGAAATTGAAACCTGTTCGTTTAAAGGTAATTGTTATTTTTTTTTTAGTGTGTGTGTTTGTATGTTTGTTTTGCTTTACTGTCTACTATGACAAACTGACAAAATTCATTGTTAGTTAAAATACTGACATTTCCATGGCAAGTTGTGCCATTCAGAATAACATGAAAAGCTAGAGATATTCCTGAAATAACGTGTAGTCACTGAAATTTTAGAAGGCTGTGACTTCCCCCCGCCCCATTGTATAATTCTCTGCAGATCGTAACATTCAATTTGTTCTCTTTATTTTTCCATTATAGTTAACCCCCCTTGGAGGGAACTCTTAGGAACTGTTAGGAACAGCAGCAAACTCTCTTGTTCCGTTTGCTTTCCATTCTGATCAGATGTACGGCCAAAAGCTGATACATATCATTAATATGATAACATTAACAAGTGCAAAGGATATTTATAATTCTGTTTTGTCTCATATGATTGTGAAGGATTTGATGCATCCTTTAGTTTACCCTAGCAAGTTCTAATTAGAAATCAGACAAAGGAGGAAATAGTGTAAGTTAATGTGTGCTGGGCATTTTATGTCGTTATATTTGAATGTACAGACATCGTGTGGTCAAAGCAATTTGTATGTTCTGTGAGTTAATTTGTGATGTTTTATAGGAATATGTTTCTGGTCTGTGTTTTAAATTGCAACCTTTAATGCTCTGCGTTTGTGTCAATATGTACCAATACCATTATTTGTCAAAGACTCTTGACTATAGTTTATTTTAATTTTTCAGTTTAAAGGACATGGCATAATAGTCCCTCTAAAGCATCACTTTTAGAGGTGG